TGTGGGGGGGGGCCAGGACGGGTGTCTGCTCCACCCCCGCCGACTTGTCTGAGGGTTTTTAGGGGTTTTTTTGCGCTCTTCTCAGAGATCCCGGGGGCATGTTGACTGAGGTGGGCCCGGCTACGGGGTCTTGCTCGTCTGTTACTGGTCCGCTTGGTGTGGCCTGGGCGGGGGCTGCTTTCCTCTGGTTGTTTTTTAATTATTATTAATTTATTTATTTTTATTAGATTTGCATCCGAGGCCAAATTAGCCCAAACCAATTCCAAATCCAGGAGTCCAGCACCTTAAGTGGCCCCGCTGCCGGCAGGGATGTAGGTTGTAGCCGTGTTGGTGTAAGGACACGGGCAGACAAGGTTCTTGGGGTGAATCTGTCTTTTATTAGACCAACTTAAATAGTTGGGAATTTGATTTTAGCAAGCTTTGGGGTTTAAAAACCCTTTGTCAGGCTGAGGAAGTTTCAGCAGTGGGCGTGTGCTCTTCCTGCCTGGAACGAACAGTAAAGAAGCCAGGCTGGGCTGGATTTTTTGCAAGACAGGCAGTCAGTGAATACATCTACCGGCAAACATCCTCCACCCCATCTGCCTGGGCTTCACGTGTTTCCAAAACCTTTGGCAGGCATCTTACTTGCAGGCTTGGGGTTTGAATGCCCCTGAGTTTTGCTTGCCCTCAGCCATAAAGCCCTCAGAGCAAGCTTCCTCTATTGTGAAACTCTTAAACAAATATTAACAACCTTTTGCAAGAGCAGGATGTTGACTGCTGTGCCCCCGCCCCTCCCCCCAGCATTACCTGTGCAGGTTAGGGTGTTAAATCCGTTCTGTGTCGCGGTTGACCGAGTGGTTTTACTAAGAGGTTATGTTATGGATTTGTACAGGATGGTTTAGATAGGAATGATCCTGCCTGAGGCAAGGGGTTGGGCTACGTCAGTGTTTCTCAACCTGTGGGCGCATCATCATGACCCAGAAGTGGGTCACAAGAATGTATGAAACGGTCATGAAAAATTTTAAAAATGGATTCTCCATTTTCCTGTGGGCGACTGTGGCTTTTCCCATGCAGGCTGGCACAGTTCCAGCCTTTGAGGGCCTGCTTGGGTCCCCTTTCGTGGTACTCAGACCTGGGGGGCTGTCAGTCAACACCAGGCCACTTGGAAACCAAGCTTTGGGTCAGGTAGGGCCCTGCACAGCCTTCTTCTGGAGAGTACCCTAATGGTGGAGTTGTGTTTTTTGGAGTGACCCAAGATGGATTTTACCCTGTAATGCCAAACAAACTTGGCCCCTTATTCAGCACAGTGTTCTTGATATGTGATATTATATTACAGTCCTTTAGCCAATACACATACTTGATGAAATACAGAGCTCTGCCATGAGTTTTTTATTGCTAACAAATTTATAATCACGGGAAGAGAAACTCTGACATTGGAATGGGGAATGACAAACTGGGAACTAGAAATAATGTACCAACTTCACCCTCATAAAAGCCCTTGGGCAGGTTCTTGGCTGCATAAACCAGCATGGCTACAGGGTCTTTGCCTTTGTAGCTGCAGATAGCTAAACATTGTCACTTTTCTTGGATCAAATCTGCAGTATGGGGCCACTGTCAATCATCAAGTTATATTTTTCAACACAGAAGCATTTGAGAAAGATTACAGTCCAGATACCATGCTGTAGCTAAATGGGTACATCATTTCTTTCTTTGCCTGGGGTCGTCAAGCATGCACTTATCATGGAAAGTGCTTCGCTACTTGGTGGTGGCAAATAATGGAAAACGCTGAAAGGAAGAGGGGTTTTTTTTCCTTGCTACCTGACAATCAAAATTAAATCCCAGCTTCCACTGCAACAGATCGCATGTCATAGGCCCAGAATACAAATAAAGCAGGGACAAAATGTGCTTCCAACTCTAGCTGCATCAGAAGGATTTTTAATGTTCCTGTTACTATTTAAGGGCAGGGCAGTTGGGGGTTATAGCAGACAAGCGTGACATGAATTTTCCAATGAGTTACTGAACTCAGGAAAGTCACAGAGCAGTGACTGAAAGCTGCTGTAGTAGTTTGCTAAGTAAATTCCTCCAGCAACATGACAATGTCCGGAAAAAAACCCTGATTTTAAAGCAGAGGCATAAGCCATGATTCAAGAAAGCATAAAGCATGTATTTAACTGTAGCCCGGAGTAGAAGCTGCTTTACTTATAATCTAGTACAGCAGTTCTGAACCGGGGGTACGTGAGATAACATCGCCTAGAATTAAAATGTTGGTTGATAGTAAGCAGCAGCAGCAGTGTTTGCACTAATAAGTTTTGGTATGTTTTGGCATTTGATGCTAAGTGTGTGTGTGTGGGGGGGGGTGTTGCACCACTTTTTCTGTGCGTGGAATAAAGTTTGTTTAAAATGAAAAAGTCGTTGTATGAGGATTTTGCCGTTTTTATAATACACGATTACACGTAGTTTGACATAAAAATTAATTTCCCATTGAAAGGAGGTCTGTGAAGTCTCACTCTGAGACCAAGGGGTACGTTGACTGAAAAAGGTTCAGAACTGCTGATCTAGTATATTAATTCCACTGGGTAGCCCAAATCCAGCACAGAGCTCTCCCAATGCTCTGATGTGGTGCTAGTGCAGGGGTGGGCAAAATACTGCCTGCAGCCTGCCAACCGATTGGATCCGGCCCACAGGCTGGCACCCGCCAATTGATCATATCTGGCTGGTGGCTGTCCCTGTGGTGCTTTGCCTGGGGCTGAGCCCTCGCTCCTGCTCAAGGCAGCCCTTTCCATGCTCCTGCCCCTGGCAGCGTGCACAGCTTTTCAGCGGGTCTGCAGCTGCCCAAGGATGGCTCGGCTCCTCCTGCCCCTGCCGTACCGCAGCAGGCAGTGCACAGCTGGGGCCAGGCAGGGAGAAGCTGCAGCTGGGTGGATCCCGCCTCAGTGAGCAGGCCTCGGGCTTTAGCTCCCAGCTCTGCCTGCGCAGTAAAGTGAACAGCGAGTTACACAGGCCAGGGGTGCCAGAGACACCTTGGCCTGACCCTGCGCTGCTACCGCCCTGCGCTGCCACCACCCTGCGCTCCTGGCCCCGCCTGTCCCACTCCCCAACGCTGCTCCCCACCACCTGCAGCCCCATCCCACTGGCCCAAGCCCATCTCCATGGAGCCCCCAGGATCTTTATTTTTTAAAATATATTTCTAGAGAGAGAGAGAGAGAGAGAGTTATATATATATATATATATATACCTCTATCATAAACTTTCCATCACACATCTTAAAACTGCATTAAGAAACCCACAATTTCCATTACAATAAACGTGTCTGTGGACCCACCCTCCACTCTCACCTAACCCAGTTGCAGTCCTCTAGTTCAAGCCCTAATTTGGGGTTTACTTCTCAGTTCATTCACTGTCCTTGTCGCTGTCACTTCCGCTGCTGCTGCTGATCCTGTTGCAGTCCTCGCTGTCTCCAGGTCTAGTTGCATCTCTGTCCTCTTGGTTCTCCCTGTCTGCTTTCCCTCCCAGTGTGGGGGTCTTTGAACAACCTGCACCAGGTGTTGCTTTTCCAGATGAAGTTGACTGCATCTTCTCTGTCCTCACTCACCGATTTCCAGTGGTAGGACTGAGGTTCGCTCAGAAACATTTTAACACAGTCTGTTTCCTAGAGCTCGGCGTGCCTGTATAACAGTAGGTTCCTGCATTGCCACAGGGTGCTCCTGACAGAGGACACAAACTGGTTGAAACATGTTTGGGACTCCTGCTGCTCAGTCAGGTGTCCAGGATCGCCAGGTGGTCACAGCACAAGGTTGGGGCCCCGGGACAGAGCCACTTAGCGGGTGTTGTGAGCTGTTGCAGGGGGAAGGGGTGGTGCTGACCCGGCCTGCCACTACTTCTGTGCTAGTGGCGCCTGAAACACTGCCTTTTGGAGGAGGCTGAATGCTGTGGTCACCATCCCAGGTTCATTAAGGATCTCCAATGTGCCAAGTTTAGAGGCATTTTTTCACCTACGGCTCTGCCGGGCCCTTGTGGGCGGGCTGCTTCCTGAAATTTCTCTCTGCAGGTTCAGTTTGATACTGTCTCCTTCACCTTCCCTCCTGCTGCTGCTTGTGACCCACGGGTGTGCTCCACCACAGACGGCTGCATTCTTGAGCAAGTTCCTTCCGCTCCCACTCTGTCTTGTCTATTGAGACTGAAAGCTATCTGGGGCCTGGACTCTCTCTCTCCCTCTCGTTTTCCCTCTCCCTTTCCCTCTCAGCACTTGCACTGTGGGAGCCTTGATCTTGACAAGGGCCTCTGGTTACTGCTGCAATATAATACAAATAGCAGTAGTACACCAAGGGTCACTTATTAATTGTACTGGAACATGCCTTTTCAATCAATCTAGCATTTTTCTCTCTTTTCATCTGAGAGTGACTGTGGGCTGTGTGTGTAAGTTATTTCAGTTAAAAAATGAGCAAAACCTATTTAGCTAGTTTTCAGGGAGGTGAGAATAGGGAAAACATGTCCCTTTACATTCCT